AGGAGCTCACCACTGGCAGTACGGTACTTTTTGTAGAGAAAACTGATCGAGGGCAAGCTCTAAGGCTAGACATCCTGTCTTGGTATTCTTTTGAAAATACTGAGAACTGTCCAACTTACTCTTCTCACAGTTGCTTTCCCTTTCTTTAGTGGCCAGAAAGTTTCCGTCAGTTGCCTGTTTTCCTCCAGCATTGGTGCTTTTAATGTTCAAAAAAAAAAAAAAGCAAGCCACAAAGAGAGCATATAATGATGCAGATATCATGTGTTTCACCCAGTGAACTACCGAGACAGAACTTTCCACAAGCCTGTCTAAGCTCTTTATCTCACTAGATTATAGTGTTCTATTTCTGCATGTCTGAAATCTGTATGTTATTTGGTGTACTTTCCAAGTGAAATCCACAAAAATGATTCTTCATTCACTATGAGTTTTCACTTCCAGGCAGAACCTTGGTGAAAGTATACTTTATTTATGGGTGGAGAAGATACGAGAAGTTCTGATAGAAAAGGCACAGTCATCAGATCCAGGTACTTCAGAAAATACACGGGTTTTTCAGTTTCCTTCTTGTTCAACTGCAAAGAAAGATTTAATTACAAGTTAAAGCTTTATGCCCCGTTTTGTATTGGATCTAAATAACAGAAAACAACAGTCTCCAGTGTCATGGCTTATTGTTTTACAGTGATAGCTTCCCTTTCTAAAAAGCAGTAGAGCAAAAAAGGAAGGGGGTGGCCTCAGTGAACTAGAACAAGGTCCTCAATTCTCTCAGGAATTAAATTACTTTCATGAAAGCAGGGTGCTGCACACAGATTCATTATGCATTGTCCTCTGTTCTGCAAAGGAATCACTCATATCAGTAATTAATTCCTGGTGCTGAGTGCACTGTTGGAGGACTGGAATTAGCCTCAAGAGAAGATAAACTTCAGTGGAATATACAGACAAATGACCAAGTAGTCCATCTTAATTTCATTTTACTATATTGGGATGAGAAGTACATCATCACTGGAGTTGCAGTGATTCTTCTGCTGTTACTTTTATAGTGGTAGTGTTTGTGTAAATTCACAGTTGTTCTTTCAAAAAGGAGGGTTTTTTGTGGGGTTTTTTGTGCATTAAAATGCTAAACTGCTATGAAATGCATGAGTGACATGCATGCACGCACTTGTGGCAAAAGGAAATAGAAATATTTTTCTGTCATGGATGTTAGCTTAGTCCTGTGAGGAATAAAAGACTGAAGAGGAAAAAAAAAATGTGTATTTTCAGTGCTTCTTCATGATAAGGTCTAGTTTTAGTCTTTCAATAAACTGTGCATTTTGTTGCTACATCACAGACATTTAAAAAGTCATTTTTCATTGACATGACTAAAGGAGTGGATACTGAGAAGTGGAAATTTTACTGACAATATTGGAAGTTTATTGAGTGTTTCGACATCAACCTTGTGGCTTCTACTTAATACATCTAATGATTTTTCTTTGCCTTTTGAACATGCTATATCACCCCTCTGCTTTTTTTATTGAAAATACCTATGTTATAAAAGCCGCATCATCACCACATCATAAGCCCTCTAAATAGGAAATTAGATTGTGATATATTAACTTGTCTGTATGGTAGAGTCCCTCTAAATCCAGTTGCCAGAGCACTAGCTGTGTGTGATATTTACTCTTTTGCTATTGACTATTATTTTTTTTATGTCCTATGCATGAGGGAGAATAGGATTTTTGAAATCCCAGAGTGCTTGAAACATGTCCAGAGAGATGTTTCAAGTACAATGATTTTGTAACCTCATGAAGTAGCATTGAACAACAGGTCTATGTTTTTCCCAAAATGACCAATAAATGACTGGAGTTCTTGTGAAACGTCAGATTATTTTGGTCTCTCAATTCAGATTAAATTAATGGTAGCATTGTAAATGTTTAATGGAAATGGTAAACATTATTGTTCTTTCCTTTTTAGAAATACTGTTAAGTAGTATTGAAACAGAAGATACTATGCAAGGATCCCATAGCTTGAGTATTGTATTCCTAATTCTAAGCAAGATTTTAGTTAATGCTGGACTAAGAAATGTTACTATTCTGCATTTCGTAATTCTTAATGGCAAACTGATTGGAACTGAAAAGCCAGAGATTTTTGAGAAAAAGAATTTGAAATTTCATCTTACTTGTCTCACAAAAAAATGTGTAATAAATTCTACTACTTGTATCTTAATAGAACCAGATATTAAGAAAACCAGTGAAGAAGTTGATGAAGATGATGGAGATGATTTTATCCTAGACTATCAGCCCATTCAGGAAGATCCCGTTAAAATGTTAAATTACCTTACATCTGAAAGTCAAGAAGGTAAAAAATATTCCCTTGTTAATTCTAATGAAATAATTTAGAAGAGAGAGGCCTTAAGATTCTGCTTTTCTACTTGCCTTTTGAGTAGAACAAATAACATTAAAATTATAATAAAGATTAATAAGAATTGTAAAAAAATGCAACATGTTTTGGTGGTTCTGTATGTCATCTTGTGTACTTAACTTTAACAAATCCCTTTTTTAAAGTTGAGACATACTTTGTGTAGCCATATACATTGTTTCACTACCCTTAAAAGAAAACAACCGCTTCCTTGTTTGTGATGAGTAGATGAAGAACTGCCATCCATACATCATGGAAACCCAATCACAGATCGAAGGAGTACTTTCCAGGCACATCTGGCTCCTGTGGTGACACCCAGACAAGTTAGTAGCTATCAGTTCTACTCTTTTTATCTGCAGTTCGAGCTTGACAAAATATTGCTGAAATACTTGGGATTAGCCAAATATATCTGTCTGTCTGCATCTTTGTGTGATAATGCTGTCTGAGTAGTCGTCAGTTTCTCGCTTTCACTGTCAGCTAAGTAGCTCTAAATATCAGCTCTGCAGTGCTTCCTGCTATTCTTTACCATTAAGTGCATTAGATGTAAGAGAATAGGAACATCAAAATTTGTTGGATATTGGCAGATTTATCATATGATATTTGGAAGTTACTGAGTCTGCCATACGTTACTTGGAAAATTAACTAAAATGGGTTTATAAATGTTTTTCCCCCTTCAGAAAGGAATTCTATTGAAAAATACACTTGGATAATGCATGAGTAAATTTTTTCTAGACCTAAGTGAGAGGGGTAAGCATGCTTCTAGAGTTGTATTTGCCTACAACTAGAAGAAAATTCTGCACTAGTTCCTGTCTCTTGCTGGAACCAGTGGTGAGTGTAGACCTAGACAGAGTGCTAGGAAATGGCAGCTATGTTTTGTTTCCTATCATGCTTCCCCTCTTTCAGCAGTTTAACACAGGGTAAAGAAAGTATCCTTGTGTTTAATATTACTGATTTATTTTTTTTTATCCTCTGTGGAATTTGTCCAGTTGCTTCTTGCATCAGAATTAACTTTGAGAATCAACAACATTGTATGAAAATATGCCTTCCTGCGTTTGCTGTGAATCAGTCACTCGTAACTTTGTTTGGTGCACCTCTCCGATTTCTCTATGCAGTTTGGATTTTTATAGATGTCTATCATATTTTGTAGACCTTAGTTTTCTGTTTTCCAGGCTGAAGACCCCCAGTCCATTTTGGTGCTTTGTAGATGTAGGCTGTTCTGCACATGTAATGTATGCTCCAACCTTTTTATGATGCAGACTAGAACTATACACAACACTGAAGATGCAATCACTCCAAGGATTTATAGAGTGGTGTAAAGAGTTTTTCTGTTTTCCATGTTCTTTTCCTAGTAATACCTTTTAGTTTACTTTTTTGACCTCTACTGAGCACTGAGTGGTGTTTTCATAGAAACGTCTGTTACAACCCCAAGATCTCTTTTTGCAAATGCTGATAACTAGTTTGGAGTCACTTTGTACATCACTTTGTATCTATTAACATCAGTCTCCTTTGATGATCCCTGTTTAGTGTGGAAACTACTGATGTACTCATCTTTTCTTGTCATTAACCGAGAGTTGAACCTTGAGAGGATTTTCCTCTTTTATCCAATTCTAGCTTTTATTTTAAGAATTTTTGGTAAGGGATCTTGTCAAATGCTTTTTGAAATTCCAGGTAAGCTGGATCAGCTACATGCTCAGTGACTCTGAAAGAATGTTGACAGATTGACAGAGTTTTAAGGCATATTTCTCTATATAAAAGCTGTAACATTTTAAGCTGTCTGTGATTTTTTTTTTTTTTTTTTTTTACACTTCATCTCCATTAGTTTGCCTAGTATGGACATAAGACCTATTGGTCTTTAGTTCCCTACATCCTTCCTGGAGTACTTTTGAGATGCTGGTATCACATCAGTCACCTTATGCTGCAGAAACAGTTTTAACTGGTAGGTTAGATATCTTAGCTATAGTTCAACAGCTTCATACTCCCTTTAAACTTTTAAATAAATATGATCTGGTTTTGCTGATTTGTTTCTATTTGTTTTATCAGCTTGCTCAACCTTATTCTGTGGTTCGGCTCCACTATATCATCCTTGCCTGACCTTTTAAGTTCATAAATACTGCACATTCATTTAGGTTTTTGTGCTACAGCTGTGTCTTCTTTAAGTGATTCTTTTATATATATTATATTTATCTGCTGGAAGTACAGCTCTCTGGTAAGCTTCAGCTTCTTAATGTGTTTGAGGAAAAAAATTATTATTAACTTTTTTGAGCAGTTCTTTTACTGCTTGCAAAGTGAAAGTAATTTTATTCATTAGGTTAATGTGGAATAACCCCATGTTTTAAACTACTCAGTACATTACCATTTTCATTAAAGTAGCACTGCACTTCAGGGGCTTTCTTAGCTGTGCGAAGTCCCTATGAACTGTGAGTCCCTATGAACTGTGTTGCTTTAGAAAGGAAAGAAATTGGAATCATTGACTTAATGTCCTTTTCTCATTTTAAAAACCTCTCAGTCTTTGATCATGATTGTTCCTACTTATGAGGAAGTCTGTACCCACAGACATGGGTTTCCAAAAGGGCAGGTCTGTGTCAAGAAATACTACTCACTTAAAGCAGGTTGTTTCCCTTTCGCATGCAAAGACATTCTTAATTTCTTCTTTTATGATTTTTTTTTTTTAAAGACAACATATACTCAATAAACCCAGGAATTTCCAGTCAAGACTTATTGGTATGTGGTTAGTATAAAGAGAGAGCAATTCCCCAAGTGTCAAATCCATCTTGTTTCACAGAGCCTTGCTTGTGAGGTGATTGGTGTTCAGACTGCAGGGAAGCTTTACTGTGGTATGGAACTCTTTTTTTCTGAGAGATAGCCAAAAGAGGTGGCGAATGGGGTGAACACTGCACCTGTAGTGAAAGCTGGCTTCTTTACCGGCTGAAGTGGTTAGTGTGTGCCCATAATACTTTATCTGCATAATCTATATGCTGCAATGATATTCATCGATATTTTAAGACAGTACACAGATTGCTCCTTTATTGAGTATTTTTAATAGTGGAACTTAACTTCTAATGTAGTTTTCAATAATGATAGGCAGAGTAACACTGTAGTTACTTACGTAACAGAATATGTTACCATAGACCTTATGGGACGAAGAAAGTGATAGGCATATTTCAGGTAGCAGGCTATATTTAGTACCATTGCTTTTCCTTGTCTCAATTTGGCTTATTCTGACATTTAGAATGTATGTGGTTCTTGGACTTGACACTGATTTAGTAAGGTGGGGCTAAGAACTGATCTGTTGTTTAGGCATCCTGTGTCTTTTATGAGCAGGTGCCTCGTTGACATGTAGAGAATTACATCCCTTAATTCCCTAAAGCAGGAATAATAGAAGGGGGAACAGGAGGAAAAAAAAAGGCTCAGGAGCTACAACAGGAAAAAGGATAAACTATTGCTTAGCTGTAAGATGTCTGTCTTGGAGGTTCATTGCTAATACAGAAACATAATGAATCTTTAAGGTATGTTTTTAGGAGCCTGGTAGCTGACAAATAACTAATGTCAAAGGTGGCGATAATTTCATATGCTTTGTACCCTAAGTCCATGTACTGAAATGTATTTATGGAAGTGTATTAAGTAATAGAAGTTGTCTTTCTTCAGTATTCCACTTTAGGGGAAAAAAGGGAGAAAACAGGTGTCTGAAGCAATGTTCTCCATTAATAATAGGAGTTTTTTCATTGAGGTATCTTATATTTGAGGTGATTTTTGTAAGCTGAATTTCTTCCAGAAGAATTGCAAATAGCACAGTATAGCTAAGACAGATATTAAATATGTATATTGATTACTCCTCAGAGACATTTTTCTTTGGAGTGGAAGGCAATTCACTTGCCAAGCATGTTTTCCCAAGCTTTCTCAGCTTCAGTAAGGTTTTGCTCAAAGTAATATTAATTTTGTATTATGTACTAAAACAATGTCTTGATCAAAGCTCTCCTTTTTGCTAGACCAAATTGGAAAGCATTGACCAATTGCTAGCTTGTTTAATTAGAAACAGAAGATGAACTGATATTTGATAAATGTTTTGTATTTGGTACTTCTTAAGAGCAGAGAGATGGAAATGGTGGGAATATGTTTTCTGGGAAATACTGACACTTTCAGTCCCATAATAGAACGTTGTTTTTTTTGTTGTTTTTTTTATTCTTTCTGTGCAGTGTGGAAACTCTGGGGGGAAAAAAGTATGTTTGAGGAAAAAAGAAAAACTCGAAATGTAGTAGAGCTTACTAAACATCACATGTTTTTGAAAAATAGGTAAAAGCAGTGTGTAACGAGAAAACGTATGTCAAGTTGTGTTATATTCCAGCTTAATGTTACAGTTTAAAAAAGTGAGCAGGTGTAATTGATATGTAATACCGATTAAAAATGTTTTCTAGATCTTACTGTCTCTCCTGTTTAGTAAAGTGATTTGACACTTCTACATCTTCAGCAATAACATGAATGTACACAGTGTACAAATTCAAGGAACAGCTGTTTTCAGTATCCCAGAAAAATGATTTGAAACTAGCATGGGGGTACTGAGAAACCGCTTATTGAGTTATCACACTGAATATTTAATTCATTTTATGTCAAAGTGTAAAACTGTTTCATTATAGTATTAAGAAGGAGATGTTTGTTTAGCAGTGATATTGAGATGGTGTGTATGAAATCCCCATTATAAAAGGAAGCTTATTTCTGGTTTTTTAAAGGTAAAGAGAGTTCTTGAAAAATTGTATGAGAACAAGAAAATTGCAAGTGCTACCCACAACATATATGCATACAGGTGAGAGATGAATAGTGATTTCCCGCCCCCCCCTCAGTGTTCTTTGACAAATGAGTGCAGGACGTGAAAAAAGTAAAATCCGTCGAAGAAATTCCTTGCTATTAAATCTTTATGGGAGTAGGTTTCTTATTTGTGTGGTAAAGGTTTTAGGCTTTATTTTGAATTTGAGGTCAAGAAAGTAGAACATATAGTAGGAAATGTGTTAAGATAGTAAAGCAGCATTGGAAATAAAAAAAGACTAAAAGCGGATTTGAACATGTGTTGTTACACTTTGTGTAGTATGTATGAGCGTGGAAATGCTACATCATCCTGAACTAGATGTGTTTTTACTTGGGCAAAGTAACTTTTTTTCCCCCCAACCTTATATTTAGAAATAGCTGAAAATTTTTAGTTGAAATAAGAGCTGAAACAGAAAGCCTGATGGAGACATCTGGCATATGAAATTACAGCTGAAATACGAGAAACTTTAGGGAAAATGAGAAACGGGTAAAAATGAGTTTGGCAGTGGTCTGTTTCTGGCAACTTTTGTGAACACAGCTTATGTGAAATGAGTTGGTCTCAGTCCAGATAGTGATGTAGGTTTTCTGAGCAATGTAAGTGACAGTAAAAGGAGGCCCTTTCGTTACTGGAGGAACCAGTCGTCTGAAAAAGCATGTATAGACACTGATCCATTCATGCACGTCCTGGCGTGATCCTAATGAAACGTGAAATGAGAGCAAGTGAAAGCTTACTTTACCAAAAAGTCTACCTAAGTAAAAGGTTTCTGTAAAGAGGGGATTTCTGTTGTTGCTGATGATGATCTGGCTTCTTTCACTCATACTATCTAAATACACTTCAGAAAAGCAACAGAAACATACTTATTGCTTCGTATTTGTTATCTAGTGCCACAAGCCTCTTTGTCATTGTGTCACGTGTGTATTAACAAAGTTCGGAAATTATGAAATCAATTGGTAAGAAACAGTAGACCTCTGAGCATTGCTTCCAGAAAATTAGACCTGGGCAGCTGTCCTTTATATGGAACAATACACCCCAGAGTTTCCTGGAGTGCCCTCTGAGGAAGGACATGGCATGGAGAATCTGAAGGTAGACTTCAGTAACAGTTTCACGCTACTGCTGAAATATAGACCTAATTATTCATAATATTTTTGTCCAAGTTCTTCCGACTTGTGGGTGTGTACCATAATTTGAACCTGTACCTGAAGTTGATTTGAGCTAGGCGTAATTCTTAGGCTAAAAACCTAGGGGTTTTTCTTATTAGGGACTTTATACTGGTAATGAGTCTGGAGTTTAACCTGAAGTAGCTAAAGTCTATGTAAAAGCTTCTCAAAACTTGTTCCACTGTACAGATAAGTATTTGTGGTTTACCCTAAGCCTCATCCTGTTTTCATGTAAATGTCCTTAGTAGAGAAGTAGAATTGATACACATGTGTATGAAAGATGAAAGATCCCTGAGACTTCATTAATCATGTCAAAATGTTAGTTGATTTACATTTTTTGAATCTCTTTTATGTTCATTTTTTACTTTTTTTCCCCTTTTTTTTTTTCTTTTTAAGAATATACTGTGAAGATAAGCAGACATTCTTACAGGATTGTGAAGATGATGGGGAGACAGCAGCAGGTGGACGTCTTCTTCATCTTATGCAGGTTACAGAAATTAATCTTTGACTTCTGGAAGTCTTGAAGAGATTTTAAAAATCACTACAATGTAAATAAACTTGTAGAAGATTATTTTAATTCTTGCTCTGCTCTTAGCCAAATAGATGATTGTTTTCTTAAAGGTGAAAGAAAAAACACAGACTGTTGCATGCCTGTAGTAAATTGGGATTTCCAAGTCTTGGATCATAGAAACAAGTAGCGTTTCATAGGTGGTAGTAATAGTTTGAACAGTTTGAAAGAGAAATAAGTTTTGATTCCTCTGCTTACTATGTGGTGTAACGTATATAGAAAATGAAGACTGGAAGAAACTGACTGACAGAATGTAACAGCTGACCTATGCACAACCTTTCATTCAGTTTCCTCAAATATTTGTAATAAAAAAAGACACTTATATATGAACTTGCAGAGTAGAGCTTCAAATGCTAAAGGTAGTGGGAGTGAAGGAGTTAAGTTTTTTTACTGTTTAATTTGTTTCTTTGTGCTGTTTCCAGTTCTGGGTCCTTAGCCCTCATACTCACATATAATTCAGTTTTCAAATGTTGAAATAATATTCCCTTGGCCAAGTTGCTACTAAATGTGAATTGAGATTGATAAATTTTGATTGACTGGCATGATGCAAACCCTAGTAAAACCATAAATAAAATGTCAGAACTACAAAGGCCAGCTGGATACATCTTATGCAGTGTCTCAAGTCACTTAGCTATATCAGCACACTAATTACTGGTTTTAATTTTGATTTTTAGATTGATGTCCCCTTCACAACAAGGGTTTTCTTTCCTGTCCTTTGCTTGCTTGCTTGTATATTCTGTTGCTTAATGTGTTATACTCTTATTCCTGGAGACTGTTTTAAAGCTTTCTTTTTTTATTTCAAAGTTTTCTTTTTTTTCTGAAAAAAATATAATTGATGGAAATATTTTGATATTTTTCATTTAGAACTTTTTGAAACTTCCTAAGTAACTCAAACCTGACTTGGGAAGGAAAACTTACTTTATGTAATATATGCAACTATATGTGGTAAGTGTGAAAACATCATTGTAATAAAAAAAATGTAAAGAAGCAACTTTGCAGTTACTGTACCTCAATTCGTTCTGAGCTTATCAGCTTTTTCTCAGCATGTTAATGTATACTTTTGAAAGTTGTCAGATTTACTGTGTCTAGGCACTTAACATTCCATAAAAATCCAGTTTAGAAAGTGAGATGAAGTTTCCCCTTTCAAATGTGAATGTGTCTAAATCATATGGATCATCTCTCGATCTGTAGTCTTAGTTATTAGGAATATTTTTGTTCTGGAAGAGTACCTTGTTTCAGATAAACCTAGCACTTCAGTCAAGATAGCACTTTCCAGTTACAAGAAACTGTATTTTAGATTAATTCTTTTGAATTTAAAGTTATAGTTAAAAAAAACCTTCCCAACTATGTTTGGCATCGTTTACTGTGAACAGTTGCTATACATAGACTTTATGGCTGATGTGTAAATGTAGAGTAGAAAATGCCTGCCACAAAACCTGCCCCAATCCTTCTTTCTTTTTTTCTTTCTTTATGTTATTCTTTTCATTTTAAAATTCTAAGAATATTTCTGTTTTCACAAACGATGATAGAATCTTCTAATAGTATTGTTCAAATTAGTCAAATACATATTTTTTTCTCCTTAATGGAGACGATGAATGGTTGTTAACATGCTTTATTGATAGCTAGCTCTTAAGGGATTTTTCTCACCTCCACCAAAACACCCTGATACCTTGCAAACCACAGTGGTTTTGCTCAGCCTTATGCAAATAAAGCTGTGTGTGCTCTGTCTGGCTCTGAGCCATCTGTATGCATTAGCGTAGTACTGCGCAGGACTTGAGGGAAAGCTGTTTATAAGTGAAGACCTTCCACAGAGATTTCAGATGCCTTAGTTTGAGCGACAAATTCAGGATCGTGGTCACTCATCATGCAAGACTAATTTGAGCAAAATTGCTGACTGGTGATTGTCACTACAATCCGTGTGTTACTACATTCCGTGCAGTAATGTCTATCTTTTATTTTGACAAGATGTGTGTTTCTCTCTGATACTTAGTCAATTGGCATTCCCTGTGTTACTAGTGTTTGCTGATGGTGGGGAGATCTGAGCACAGAATTGCTGTAAGGTGGGATAAATGCTAGTTTTCAAGTCTAGTCAAGTCTCATTTAGATTTTGTGAGAAGTAAAGCTGTTGAAGGCCTTCCATGTTTCTTGCCTTTAATTGCAGTAAGAGAAATCATCACTTCTGTTTAACTCTACTTGATTTTGTTATTTACAGTCTTAAAAAAGCTATATAAGGTTGTTTAGTTCCTTTCAATCCTAATCGCTAACACAATTATTTCATGTTGTGTGAACTTTATATATGCCTTTTTGAATGCAGAAAGCAACTGCTTGGTTGTAAGGTACTAAGACTCAAACCTGGAAAATGCAGAGGTTTTTATGTATTATCCAGGTGCTGTTGCTAAGGCCTGCACATGGCAACAGTGCTAGCTTATGGCATTTTAGGTATCCATATGTATGCCTGTCTCCTGGCTGTTATTAGCCTCATCCAGCACCACTTCCAAAAATGTGGATAGACAATCTGCTTAGTGACAGAGGTTCTCTGAAAATAAGAATTCATCATATCGAAGAATAATAAATGTAACTCAGTAATTTTCCCTTTAAGTAATGCCTGAAGCCTTTGACACATGAATGAGCAACTGTAGTGCACATGAAATAGCTTTGTGCCCTTTCTGAGGGATATATTGACTCATTTTACTTTGAACTTACCTTTGGGTAGGAGCTTGGAGAGGGAAACTTGCAACAACTGCTGGCTTTTCATTATTTGTTACCCTCTGATAACAACATATGTGTGACACAGACCTGACTAAGTTCTTCTTAAAAATGCAAGATAGTAGACTTTTTCTATGTTTAAAATAGGTGTCAACAGTAAAACTAGTTCAAGTAAAAAAATAATCACTTTTCTTTCTTTCTTTCTTTTTTTGAAACAGATTTTGAACGTCCACAATGTGTTAGTTGTGGTATCCCGCTGGTATGGAGGTATTCTCTTAGGACCAGATCGTTTTAAACATATAAACAATTGTGCAAGAAATGTACTTGTGGAATACAACTATGTACATTCAGTGGTAAGTTCCTGCCACTTAGAACAAAGGCATTTGTATGTGAACTTGTGTAAATTGTCACTGTTGGATGAAGCCAGAAGAAAAGTAATATTACCTGTGTCATCCCCTGGTTGCTTTGATGCACTGATAGTATGCATAGGCTCAGTGCAAAGGCTCCTGAAGAACTTTCAGAGAAGTTAGTGACTTGGTTTGTAAGTGTGAGGTGTGCAATAGAAGGGTGGCAGCCGTTGAGGGCATTGATCCAGAACACAAATTTGAGGGTTGGGGGAGGATGAGAAGGGGAAATGCCTCTTTCTGCGTGTGCAGAAAACTGGAAGCTGCTCCTTTTCGTGCTTACTTGTGGCACCAGTTCTAGTGTGTAGGCAGACTGAGCTTGGGAATCACTGTAACTAGTAGGCATTTTAAAAATTGAAAACTTTATTAGACCCAAAGTTTTCAGAATCATAGATGATAGACACCATTTAAAAAAAATCTGGACTAGAAGAATTCAAACAAAGTAACATTAACTGTTACAGAAAAGATTAAGAGAAGATGTTTCAAGGGAGCTTAAACAACTCGGGAGACAAAGTTCCAAATGTCTTTAATGGCATTTTACTAATATTCTTGGTTTTTTCAACATTTCTTTTCTTCATCCTCAGAACAGCGTATTAGATATGTCTATGTACATTATAGTATGTAATTGCTAACAATACAAAGTTCAAGACAGTAGGAAATAATTACTAATGGATACTTGAAAAAGTATGCAACTGTCAGTTTTCCTTTTTATATGAAAGTATCCAAGATTGCTGTGGCTCAAAGCTGAGCATTCTTCCCCCTTCCTGCCCCTGCACTTTTCAGTTATTTGCTTTTTGCATTTTAGAGGTGCTTGTATATACTTACTGATTTACCTTCTTGGCAGTTTATCGATGTTCTCTTATTTGAAAGCATTGCTTATAAGATAAAAAGAAACTAACAAGACTCTTAAGCATTATCCCTCAAGAGAAGGTTTAGTACCAAACATGACTTCTTTTTTTTCTATTTTTAACAACTTAAATCAGACTGTATTTCTTTATTGTGTATTAACACATGTATTTTGTTACCAGTGTCCATCAGAAAAATAACAGATGGAACTTAGGGTAATTATTATTCTAGTACCATAGATGTGGCTCTTGGAAGAAGTATTCTTATAGCTAACTCTCTTCAGAATAGCAGAATTCAAACATCCTGTTAGGGTCCGTTTCCCTCCCATGTGCAAGAGATAGAAAGGAGAAGATTAAAATGTCCCGGGTTCTGTCAGATATAGTGGCAGATTCCTTCACCATTTTGGGGAGTGCTTGCGATGAATGCCTACTGAAGAAAAATCTTGTTTTTTCAGAATTGGCAGTCAGAGTAAGCTGTATGTTACAACGTTGATCCAGCAAGACTGGCAAAATTTTGGTTTTCCCAGTGTAGGTTTGTTTCACTTAGAGAAGCAGTTTTAAGGTACTGGTGTACAGTATATCTCTTGATAAGGCCACATCCGCTCTAGAAGCAGTTTTGCAGTATCGTGTAGATGTATTCCTATACTGGTAACCTCTTCCTCAAGTGGAAATGGCTTAGATTATTTTTACATTCTATACTTCTGTTGGCATAGCTATGGCTAAAATTTTATGATTGCTGAAGGCAGAAGTTTCTAAATAGCAAGATGAGCAGACAAATTAATGAAACTGAGTGGTTAAATATTATACAACTCAAAACTTTCCTAAATCCCAGTGAACTATGAACACTGTTCATATTAAAAATAATTCTCATGGGTGACCTTGAGAGAATGCTCACAGTATGTAAGAATGTTGATTAAATTTTGAAATCCTTGTTTTTCATTTCAGGAAGAATCATCTAAACAAGCAGGAAAGAGCAAAAAGATAAGGAAGGACAACAAGAAGAGAATAGAACACTAATTTATTTTTTAAACTATAAAAGATTATTTTGCACATATTTATACAAAGAAAACATGGACACTATTGCCTTATACAATACAGCAGACATTTTGTATTCAGAAGATAATTCAGTAAAGCTATAGATATATTTTAATCTTGTTCTGTGATTTCTTTGGCTGTTGTGAAATAGAGCCTAAACACAAGTTTTCTGTATTCTTACACATGTCAGCTCTTTGCTTTGAGGGCATTCTAACATCTGGAACCATCTCCAGGAAAGCAGGGCTCCATCATGCGTAACGGTTACTTGGGAAGACAAACGCCAGCACTCCAAACGTCCCCCCCTTCCTTCTTCTTCCCCCAGCTTTATATGCTGAGCATGACGTCATATGGTGTGGAATATCCCTTTGGTCAGCTGTGGTCAGCTGTCCCAGCCATGTCCCCTCCCAACTCCTTGTGCACCCCCAGCCTGCTCGCTGGTGGGGGTGTGTGAGAAGCGGAAAAGGCCTTGACTGTGTGCAAGCACTGCTCAGCAGTAATGAAAACATCCCTGTGTTATCGACACTGTTTCCAGCACAACTCCAAAACATAGCCCCATACTAGCTACTAGGAAGAAAATTAACTCTATCTCAGCCAAAACCAGCACATACCACCGAAAAGGAAAGCCTGTGGCCTGGTGCTATATGGCCCTGGAGAGCCTGGTCCTCCCCATGCAGTTCTTGGTCATGCTCGATAGGGCCTGCCTGGTGACATAAGAAAGACTGAACATGGGTGATGAACTAAGAAATGTAAAGAAGTTACCTCAAAATTTCTTTGAGGATTGTGCTGTGAGTGTTGGGGCTCTAGGAGCCTGTTGAAAAGCTGAGGGTTTAGTGTTGTATAATTAAGGGAACCAGTGATTTCAAAAAAGAATATGGGGATTTTGAAATCAGACTGTTAGTGCTAGTAGTGAACATCAGTAAACATTCAGAAGTTACTTCCGTTGGTGTAGAGTGGGGGAAAAAGCAAGTGTTAACGGTATGATCACAAACGCTTGAATTTTCTACTCTTTTATTAATACCTTCCAGACTTTTCTCTAATGCATTACAAAAGAATTAACAGGACTTTTTGTCAGTTAATTGTCATATTGCTATTTAGATGAGATTTAAATAATTTTTTTAACATTCTCTTGGTATCTTTCACTTGGGGAGGACGGACTTTAATGATCTGTTGTTTGGTTTTTTTTTTTCCCCTCAAGTTAATTTCTGAACTTTGCGATCCATTAATTACTAGCTGAGTCACAGGTGCTTTCTTAGGTCAAGTACACCTTACATAGTTTCCTCATATAGTAATGTCAGGGCTGTGACTATTTTCAATGACATTTCTCTAGTGGCACTTGCATAGTTTAAAGGTGTATTTGTAAGACTAGCTTATTTGACCACCAGTTTGGTATACGTCTTTTTGCCTCTATGTTCTTACACTGAACTGTTTATGATAGTTCTCCAGTAGGGGTACCCCAGAAAACCTTTCCCAAGGCAAACTTCATCTAATCAAAGTAACTACTCCAGAGTTTGATATAGCAACAGAGATGTTCCTTAAGAATTTCAGTAACTTGAAAAGTACCACTAAAATACGTGATTTAAAAAAAAAAAAAGTTACCACTAATTCTGTGGCAGATAGATCCTGCATTGATTTATTGAAACAATTTTATGCAGTTACATTACCTTGTCTGCATAGTAAAGCTCTTTTAGATTTAGCCTTAGCATCTGTACTTGTAATAAAATGACATTTGTCCCAGGGAAGGAGATCCATATATTACAGTATATAGTAGTCTTGCACTTTTTGGGTCATGCAAGTATTTTTTTTCAGTTTGTCTGTCTTATTGATAGACTCTTATTTTGCCGTTCACTTCCAGTACCTTATTAACTTAAGTACTCCAAAGTTTCTGTTGCTTTTATGAAAGTTTGAAACTGTAGCAATTACTTAACATGGGAAGCAGGTGAATTGTGAGATGTTCTGCTATAGCTGCCCAAGATTCAGTCCCACTCATGGTAATGCATGTTCTTTTTCCAAAGAGCCTTTAAGCTTGAACGCTCAGAATCAACAAGTGATTCTGAAGGTCTGAACTTTTGGGTGTTCAGTCTGAGGTACGTGAAAGCTAGGTGTCTGATTTTTTTTATTAATTTTTTTTGAGAAAGTGCAGATCCTTGTCCCCAAGAATCTCATGTTTCACTGTTGTGTGTTAGCAAAAACTAAAACTCCAAAATGGAAGAAACAAGTTTTTGATAACCACTTGCTGCATAAATGAAATAGACCATATAGGTCATCCAATCAGTGAGCAAAATGCATCCCTATTCCTTAAAATGGCTGGAAACAGACCATCAAAGTGGAAATGTGTATTTTCGTGCTATTTCTTTCAGAGAGAACGTAAAGTGCTGTCTAGCTGTACTGTGGACACTTTTGGTTAGAGAAGTTGCATTCTCTTCTTATTTTTGTTTGTAAGCATTTCCTAAGTTTAAGCTTCCTTTGTAAGTTTTCATGTGGCTCTCCAGAAGAGTTTTGCAATGCAGGAATTTGTCCTTTCCTTTGAGAGCGATGCCTTGGCGTACCTCATGGCCTAAAGAACCTGTGCTTTAAGGAGGCTGTATCCCATCACTTAATTGAATACAATTGTTTCTGCTTTGTCATTCAGAGAATGTTAGAGCAGCAGTGATTGTTATGTGTCAGGATCAAAAATTTAGCATTGATGCAGCAGTTGAAGTCCTTGGCATGTGTCAAGAGTGTTTTCACACTGGGACTGGTAACCAAGGGACACAAATAGCCTATTCCCCGTGTAGAGCAGAGCAGCAGCAGACACAGGGAATATATTTTGATCCTCACATTTTCATCATTGCCTATAATGCATTTGGGTTGTTAACAAAGAAATCAAGAACCTAACTTCTTTAGAAACTGGGCTATAAAACATTTTGTTTCTCTTACTTAGTGGGGAACAGAGGTCCCCCAGAATCTGAGAAAGAAAACAAGTCAGCCTACTCTTACAAGCAGCTGGCTTGCTTCCTAAGTCACTTGTGCTCTGAGGCCATAAGCCGCTGCTCAAAAAAAATACCGTAGAATCATAGAACAGTTTGGGTTGGAAGGGACCTCTAAAGGTCATCTAGCCCAACCCCCCTGCCGCGGGCAATATGCAGATATCTTAAAAAAAGAAAAAAAGAAAAAATGAAATTATACTTCATAATATTTGTGGAAGTTGCAGGTTTCTGTAGTCTAACCTTGGATAGACTGGTATCTCTGACGAAGTTTGAGAGTGCTGAAGTACGTGCTTGTGAAGTATGTTACTCTGAAGCCAGTGTATTGCTCTTGAACAGACTGGAAGTACTGACATCTTTTGTCTCTGAACTATAGTATTCCTTTATTAATTAAAAAATGTGAAGAGAACAAAATAGACAACTACTTGTAATCATAATAACCCTGTCACTTTGACAACTAACAACCATTTAGTTTTTATGTTGCTGACGTCAGTAGTCTTTTTTTATTTTGGGGTAAGGTTTACAGACAAGAGAGCAGTTGTAGCCTTCAGTATGTGTCTATGCAGAAAAGAGAAAGGTTTGCCTTTTCAGTTGGGTATGTGTCACCATTTTTGCAGGTTTCTGTGGTGAAACGAAGTTAAGCAGAATCAGCAAAAGCACCCCTGACGGTGGGAGAGGAATGAATTTTTGCACTCTGTTGTCTGAAGCGTGCTGACGGGAGAACAGCTTTAGATTTGGCACAGATTCCTCCCCCAACCAGGTAACACGGGTGGGATCAGCCTTTGCTTTTGAGTAAGTCGGGGACACAATCTCCATACTCCTGCTAAATGCATTATTATAAATACTGATATTCTAAACTCCTACTGCTAAACAGTGTAATAATCTTGTTTATCAATGTCAACTGTGATGGTTTAATATTTTCCTGCAAGTTAAAGGTTTATAAATAAGGATCTAGAGGAATGTATTGAAAAGCAACTAAATCAGAGTGGAGCACCAGTGTTCTTCAGTCCAGAGCTTGGTGATGCAACCTGATGAGAAATCAGATTGCATTAAATAAATCATGTGTATGTGAACTAGCAAGTGGGATCCAGCAAGGGATTTTTTTTGCATTAAATAAATCATGGGTATGTGAACGAGCAAGTGGGATCCAGCAAGGGAAAGATATTACAAAAATGGCTTGCAACAACTTTAACTTTAAAAATACTGTCCTAATGGAATGTATAATGCTAAACTGAAGCAACAGTTTTAACTGTAAGTTTTTGTTGTCAAATATTGCAAATTTGCTTAAGACAATATAGGCTGTATACATATCCACTACTTGTGGAAGGATTATAAATTTAATTATCTGGACAAAAATAAGAAGAAAAGGATTATAGCATTAATCCATACCTAAAGTACTGTAGCCTGTCATAAAAGTATGTTCATGAAGAATCAAACGCTAGCAGAAAAGGTGGATTGTGACTACTATTTAATCTTTTTTTGCCACTCTGTTCTGTCTTATCTCTTTCTTTTACTGTTTTCGCTTTGCTCTTCTGGAAATGAATCAGGAGTATGGCTGAAATCAGATTAGCCATTACAGGACCCCAATCTCCTACAACGTAGTATCAGAATGATTTATTTTTCTTTGTTGCTCAAACTTAAGTGACTGGACCAAGAGCCGGAGTTTATATCTGGTCTCTGATCGGGGTATTTTGTTAGCAAAGTACCCTCTAAAGAGCTGCCAGGTGGTTTCTCTGTAAAACAGAGACTTCACATAGAAGAGCCTTAATGAGTTCAAGACAGTTGAGCAATGGAAAAAACCTAATGTCATTCTTACAAGCTTCTCTTCAAGAAGTGGTGATGAGACAGAACATTTCATCTAAATGTCCTACCATATATCTGAAAACCTTCCATGCTGAAATATGGAAAGGTCACTTGTTTTTAAAATCTACTGCCTTAACTTTTAAAAGTGAAGATAATTGTCTCTCTAATTGCAGCATAGCAGTTCTGGACTGTTTGTAATTTCTTGATATTGCAGTCTGAACACTTTAATAAGCAGGTAATTCAGCGTGGTTCTTTTACTGTTTAGTATGTGTTCTTGTTGAACGCCTGGGGAAGAAGGAAGGGAAGAGAAAGCCGAAACATTTACTTGTGGATCCTTTGGGTGTATTAATCTATGCTATGCATTTATAGTCTAGCATGTCTATTTGAATAAAAATTCCATATCTTTTTACAGGGTTATCATTGAACAGTTGATATGCTGCCCTGACGCCAGTAGAAAATCAGCAGTTTATTATCTACTTCAGATATTTTTCTAGCTAGGCGTGTTCAGATTGGTTTAATCATAGTTACAGCCACACAAAAAAATTCTGCTGAAAGCTTATGTAGTGGATCTTCTATTAAACTTCACTTATACTGCTGGTGTTTTAAAAAAACTTGCTGGCTGGTGTAGATTGTCTTCTGGATATGAACAGATTAGTTACATGGCATCATGACTTGTGCAAAACAGGTCTGTGGTGCTGGAGGTACATTCACAAGGCACATGAGTGTAGCATCCATAATTTTAGGTGCCCTGCTGCACACAGACTTTCCAAGCACGGTGTGGAAGAGTTAGATTATCTAAGATTTTGAGAAACCAAGTCAGATCTAAGTTAGCTCCAAGAAGAAATTTTGAGGGAGGGAGATGGAAAGGAATTAGGTAGCTATATACTCCTAGAACGTACCCTAGGATTTAAGCCATTTGGAAAGGTTAGCTGTTTCTCATGAAAAACGGTGAAGCTGCTGAGTTTCTTCTTGAGACTGAAGAGTATATGGGTAGACCACTCAGCTAGGATGAATCCCATCTTCAGCTTGATTTTGGAGGCTGTGAAATCTGGCTTCCTTGCTTCCCAAATGAGTTATCTTAACTAATAGACTAAAGGTACTTTGGAGAGTGTATCTTTCATTCTCTTCCACTGACATACTTTATTAATTAATGCAGAATTTCCCTCAGATTTTGAGAAGCTCGCTAAGCATTACCTTCCTCTTAGGGTTTAGGAAACCGAAGGAAAGAGATCAAGTAACAGACTGAAAAGTTACAAGCGGTCTCCACTTGGACCAGAAGTGGAGATCAGAATTTCCAGGTTCCCAGGGGACTCCAGGACTGCTAAACTTTATTACACTTAAGCTGATGGCTTAATTCCTGCAGGAAAAAAAAAAAAAAAAAAAAGTCAAAGAAAAGCAGGGAATTCAAAGTGATACCGTATTTCTTAGCTTAATTATTCAGATTCTTCTCCATATCTTACCTTAACAAGGTATAGCACAGCTATTATATATGTGTTATATATAAACTATGAGAACCTGTTGCATGCTACAGAAGTGAGGATGTGGTAGTTGTATCTTGGAAGCCATTATGTGGGCAGCTTCCTTATTTAATGCTCATAATAACCTTCTAATTCATTTCCTCAGCACGGAAGATTCTGGGTTAAGATACAGTGAGAACCTTTCTATTTACACTTTGGAAAGCAGCTTGAGAGAGAAGAAGAAGGTCCAAAACTTTATACTCACTTTTGCAAAGAGCTGTAATTGCACCATTCTAAGGCAGAGTAGTTGCAAATTACATCAGTAATTTAACTGCCACTGTAGCTTTAATTATTTTAGCATAGATTCTCACGGAAGAAAAAATGCATAAAACTCGAGTAAGGGGTTTGCTATTAAAAGATCCAGTTTTAACTGCAATTGCTACAAGCACTGTCTTTCAGCCTCGTGGCTTGTCTAGTTGTGTTTTTTTTACAAAACTATATTCTCTTGGAGCACAGTTTGGATCTATGATTTTTCTGCTTTTGAAGATTTTTGCAACCTTTTGGTCCTCATGGGGCTTTCAGGAGATTGTAACAAATTCTTCTCTTCTGAGACTGGTGGCTGTGCATTGATTCATCGTAGACGCCAGTCTGTAGAAAGCCTGCTAGCTCAGGCTGGCATTTCTGGCCATTCAGGGACAAGTTAGGAATCAAAAGTATATCTGAAAGTTTCCAGTAGAAAAGAATACTTAAGAGCTTGGATCTTCTCCCCTCTTCTGCAGTTGAAAAGGGGGGAGTGTTACTGGAAGGGGGAAACCCTTTCCAGGACCCCTTCCTGACTGAGGGCAAGCAGCCCCATGTCTAAAAGAAGAAAACCTTTTATGTACTTTCCTCTAGGATATGTGACTCAGTGCAGTTTCTGAGCACCCACTGATGAAGGTTTGCAGCAGGTATATTGTACGCGTATGAGCTGCCCCAGGTTCAGTGATTCTTACCAAGGGATTGTCACTTTGAATGCGCAGGAATGAGCTGTTGATCCCATGGTAAGGTGAGACCAGTCAAAAAGGACTGGCTGCATTAGGTATGAGGAAAGAAAAAGTATAACTGGGACCTGGTAACAGTTTATATAGGATCCATGATTTGGCAGTATGCATGGCAATTTTCCTGCTGTTCTCTGGATTTGAATGCAGGGAAGCAATCACAGAAGGACTGTTACCCTCCTCAGAGGCCTATAGAAGCCCTGTGATGTCTTTTATTATCAATAAAACGCAGAAGCAGAAATTCTTGGGCTAAGAAGGTAACTGTTTAGAAGATGAAGTGAAAATAAAATGATCGAATGTCTCTTCTGGTACCATATTGGCACCTTGAGCCACAAATCACTGGAGGCATGTGGAGCACACCAGCAGTGTATTTTGCCACGTTCTTACACTCTTCCTTAGGCTACAGGCAGCTGAGACAGACAGGATACAGACTTGGCCAAACCCTTAATTTGACCTCACATTTGTTCACTGCTTTATTTTCTTTTCAACCATGTAATAGCTTGGACCTCAAAAATGTCACGTAGATCAGCTTCAGCATTGCTAGCAGAAGAAAGGCTAGTGGTATTACTTAGTAGTCGTTGCCAAAGTGTGTTTTCTACATTTCCAGCATTACCTGCAAGCAAAATAAAGCTTAAAGCAGTAATGGATGTGCGTGCTGTGAAGATATTTGTATGGCTAATAAAGTTTTGCTTTTTTGTACTGCTGCCATTCAAACATTTAGTAAAAGCACTTGGCAAATGCTAATGAATTTGTTCCCACAACAGAAGCACAGCCATGACAGCCAACATTTTTCAAATTTAAGTATCTAAAATTAGACACCAAAGTGTTTTTAGAACCCATAATAAAAATGATTGAATTTTTACAGCTGTGGAATACTCACGGCTCTCTGCAAGTGGCTTCATTACTCACACAAAATATAATCGCTTGTGGAAGACACACGATTTCTCCCACCAGTGTGGAAAGAAAAGCCTTGTCCTATTAAAGTTAATTGCCAAGCTCTCATTCACGTTCAGGGAGTCGGTATTTCGTTCCTTGGTTCTGGGATGGCAGCAGCTGATGCTGTGTCACTGAGGCTGCTAAGAGTTTTGAAACTGATTTCAGTGGGAGTTTTGCAACTGATCTCTGAGGGTTAGACCATTACTGGTTAACTGCTCCTGGTAAGTAATCGTATATATGCTTACTTACAGCATATCAGTTTTCAGCCCTAGGGTCTACAGAAAGAGGAACAACAATGGCAACAACAAAGTTGACCATGCCTTTGGTCAACAAAAATATATAATACAATAGAGAGGGACCACAGACTTGCCGAAATACAATGACACTAGATAAACAAGGATGAAATTAGAATGTAGTTTACATTCTCATAAGGATAGGTAGCCAAGATTAAGGAACAATTTCCAGAAAAAGTTGATGTCCATAATGCTAACAAGCAAAATGCTTCTGCAAGGGAGGTAATGAGGAAGGGAAGAAAGCAAGAGATATTCTCAGATCAGCCCTCCTGACCTCCACAGATAAGGATCAGGTTGCATAAAAAAGAACTTGCATTTTAAAATACGAGCTTGGAAAAGCTACGTATTTCTTACTGGTAACTTCTAGAGATAGGCATGCTTTCAGATGCATTGGTATTTATTAAAATTACAAAATCTTAGGAAAACTAAATTTATCTAGCATCAGAACTTTTTAATTTTTTCCCTCCTGAGTCAGTTTTTTTGGATGTTTATTGGATTTTTGGCCCATCCTGTTTATGCTCCTTATGAATCTCAACCTTTTGGATAACTCTGCCAGGTGCAAATTTCTTCCCAGAGTGAGCTGACCTGGATACGCAATGTGCACAACAGCACTGCCGAAACTCCACATACGGCTGGAACGTGTAATCAGACTTTGTCCACACAGCCACCGAGCTCCAAGTTTTCACTGGGCGTATTGGTGCTGCTGGCTTTCCTCATGGTGTTGCTAGCTCTGGTCACCATCTTTGGAAACGTCCTGGTGATCCTTGCTTTCATCACGGACAGAAACCTCAGGTATCGGAGTAACTATTACTTTCTCAATCTTGCTATTTCTGACTTTGCAGTAGGTAAGACATAACCGTGGAGGCACATACTATTTGTTTCCTAGGAATCTTAGGAGAAGCAAGGGGGCTTCTTTTCTCTGTGGTTTCTTCTAAGAGAACTATTTCCCAGCTGTGGGTCTAGGGGAAGGGTAAAGGAATGGTGGAAGCTGCTTTAAGTGTCTTAGCAGCCTACTATTTTTCAGAAATACATTATCATAAGAAATGGACCCTTTGCCAGGTAAACAGGTAATGTTTAACGTTCTTGCTTCAGGAAACAATACTACTGTGTGTGAATCGATGTGGGATAACAAAGAATAGGAGTTGTTTGTGGAGAGTCTTGACTAAAGTCTAGAGAGTCAAATTGAATACAGCATATATCGTCTGGCAGATCTTGCATATGTGCTTGATGCCTTCTATTTCAATCTACTCTCACACAACACAGATAATCGCCTGAAGTTTGCAACTAAATACTAATGAATAGTATTTTTCAACATCTTGCTGTACATGCTCTATCTACAATCATACCTTAGGAATATGTGTTTGTATAGGTAACTAAAAATAACAAATCAAACAGTTTCTGAGAAGTTTGATGTTATTCATATATATTTGTACATAGGGACACATTTTATTTTCAAACTTGTACAGAGAAAAAATACAATTAAAATGTTAGGGTGATGTGCAATTGGAGATCGATGTATTGCAATATTCTGTGAAATGTTGAGTGTCTCTGGTAAAAGTCTTGGTTAAATTATTGAGTAGGCAGAAGGGTGGTTTTAAACAGGTGTGGCTATTTCGTGAAATCTATGTTCTGACTCGTCACATCACAACAAAATCTTTTGAAACTGTTTTTATTCTGCTTCTTTTACCTATGCATTTAAAAAGGATACTGAAAGAACTGAAGAAACTGTCTTTGTTCTTAAAATTTATTGCCAGTGTCAGAAATTCTGTTACAGGGCACGGCTTCTAATAGTCCAGTCCTCGTGATGTCCAGATCTCCTTGTATAATGTTTTGATCCCTTCCCCCATATGGTTGATGTCTTCTTCCAGCTTGTAACTGCCTTGTTGTGCCACAGAGCTTTTGCTGTCTGCTGTCTGGCTATGGTACATGGGGAAAAAACCACAGCAGTGAACAGAAAACCAGTGGACAGAGTGGTGTTCTGTCATCTTGCTCACAATCTATCACCATATTGAACAAATACTGGCATCTAGCTGAGAAGTATGAAGTAAATAATGTCCTCTATCAAAGAAGGAATTAGAGCTTACTTGGCATTACCTAACTTCCATAAATTTGTGTTTCATGATATTATGTTTACCTGAATGTCTAATTTTTCATTCTAAATTTGGTTAAAAGCTTTGCATACTTCAGAGTCAAACTGGTTTGTAGTTCTGTAGCTACATAATTTAGATTGAGGCTATACCTAGATTAGTCTTAATTTGTACTTGATCCTAATTGCTAAAAGCACAGACTTTCATGCTTGCAGAGCCCTTTGCTTATTCTTTTAATATATTTAATTTATCTGATTTTGATCTTCAACAACTTTTGCTTTATTTCTGTGCTTTGGACTTACAGCCCATAGCTGGATTTGAATAGAGATCTCTTGATTCTTAGTAGAGAGGGAGAATAACAGGAATTGTAAGATTTTTAGGGAAATGGAAACTCTCAAGATCCTCTTTGGTACCTGTTGCAGGAGTACACACTATCATGAAGTAAATCTAAAGTTGAAATAATACCCTTCCCTGTGAATGATAAAATGTATAATATGACCTTTTGCTCAAAAGAGCAAGTGTTAGTTGCTCTGTAGATGCAGTGACTCCATTTCATTGGAGCGTTGTTGCTGTTCACTGTATTTCTGTGTCACAGCAAACTACACTATTAGTTCTTCAGCCTTGCAGGGCTGCATTGTGATTGTGTGTGTAGTGTAATCACCTAGAAATCCATTAAAATAAGATCATATTGGCACTTTCACAACATTTGGATTTAACAGCCTAAATTTAGATAGCCGTGGGTGCAGGTTACTCACGTATGTTCCCACCACTTGGTGTGTTCCCATAGATAATACCCTATCAGCTCACCACTGAAAAGTGGTTATGATCAAGAATTACGATGAGAAGAAATGTTAGACTGGTTATACTTAATTAAGTGTGAGTTTTTGTCAGCCTTCAGATTAGATAGTTTTAAAGATTAGTCTGACATTCATGTTGTATTTCTATAAAAGTTACGTCTGGAGCACTTTCGGACACCATATCCTGCTTCTAAGAGGATAGAAGCATGGCAATTAGATTGTTTGTTCTAGAAAACAGTTAGTAAATTACATTGGGGGGGGGGGAAGATTTTTCATTTTTTTGTTTAATTTCAGTAGCTTAATGCAAAATAGTGTTTACTTCAGCAGGTAAATAAAGTCATCTGCTCCTTCCTTTAGCAGATGATATAAACAGGAGAAGTAATAATGATACACAATAAACATGAGACACCTTTCAGAAAAGTATTAATTATAAGAATGTTACTGGTGCCTAGTTTGTGGTCAAGTGTTCGTTGGTTGTATGAGAATACAAAGCCTTCCACATGGCAATTCCAGTCAGTATTGCGCTTTTATCAGATACCACAGAAATGTTTCTTTGCTTTCACGAGCACTGTCTGCAGTGCTGACTGACATGTGCATTTGGTTTATTTCCATAGGTGCATTCTGTATGCCTCTGTACATCCCTTATGCCCTGACAGAGACATGGCACTTGGGAAGAGACCTGTGCAAGCTCTGGCTAGTTATGGACTATCTCCTGTGCACAGCTTCAGTGTTTAGCATCATCCTTATCAGCTACAACTCTGTCCTGTCAGTTACAAAAGCTGTAAGAAGAACCTTTCTAATTATTTCTTTATATATCTTGAGTTTTCTGTAAAGTTCAGAGTGTTCACAATAACACTGGAAGCTAAATAGTCCTTCATTATTGTACCATTTTTTTCTGCAGAAACTTTGATGCTTCAGTGTTGCACTGGGACTTAGAGATAGGACAACGCCTTGCCTACGATTTCAATGTTTCCCTCCTGCTGCCTGGATTAGAAACTATTTAATTACATTACAGAGGAGGTGGGAAGGTGTCGTGGTTTAACCTCAGCCGGCAACTAAGCACCACGCAGCCGCTCGCTCACTCCCCTCCCCCCCCCCCCCCCGGG